CCTGATCTTGGTTGAGGCATGTAGGTGCTATTGTAATACATGTTGTAAATAATAATAATATGTCTCTTTCTTATCACTAATTGCAGGAAAAGCTGTACATTCACTTATACCATTTCTGAATATCACTGTTAGATAATTGTTAAATTGCTTGCATCTTTTTCTCTTGGCCACAGAGTATTTAAATAACTCAGTCAGCCTCTATGATTAAAACATGCTTAACGGAACAAGTCACAAATTGTAGTATATTGGGAACTGATAAACTGGCTGAAGTCAACTGTGGCAAAAATGGGCTTCTCTACTTGACTTGAGTACTGTCCAAAAAGTACTGTGCTTGGAGCACACCTTCAGAATTAAGGTGAAATTTTTGGAAATGGAAGGACCCTGATCAATACAGCCATAGTTTAATGCAGGGGTGGACAAACTACGGCCCACGGGCTGGATCCGGCCCCTTGGGTCTTTGGATCCGGCCCATGGGATTGTCACCCCGCATGGCGCTGCACCGCTCCAGGAAACGGCCACACCATGTCCCTGCAGCCCGTGGGGGTGGGGCAGCAGAGAGCTCCGCACGCTGCTCTTGCCTGTGAGTACCTCCCCCAAAGTTCCCATTGGCCAGGAACGGGTTATCGCGGCCAATGGGAGCTTCGGGGGAGGTACCCACAGGCGAGGGAAACACGCGGAGCCCTCTGCACTCCCCCGCCATCCCCAGGGGCCGCACAGGGATGTGGTGCAGGCTGCTTCCTTGAGTGGCATGGCGTGGGGCCAGGGCCGGGGCAGGCAGGCAGGGAGCCTGCCCTGGCCCCGGTGCGCGCCGCTGCCACCCTGGAGCCACTCTAGGTAAGCAGCGCCGGGCCAGAGCCTGAACCCCTCCTTCACCCCGCACCCCAACTCCCTGCCCTGAGCCTCCTGCCGCATTCCGCACCCCTTCTGCACCCCAACCTCCTGCCCGAGCCCCCTCCTGCACTTCACACCCCTCCTGCACCCTAACTCCCTTCCGTGAGTCCCCTCATACACCCTGCACCCCTCCTCTGCCCCAACCCCTTGCCTGGAGCCCCTTCCTGCACACCGCACCCTCTCGCACCCCAACCCCCTGCCCCGGCCCTGCAAGCAATTTCCCCACCCAGATGTGGCCCTCGGGCCAAAAAGTTTGCCCACCCCTGGTTTAATGCCTCAACTTCTAAAAGGATGATTCTTACGGAGATTTCAGATTAAAAAGGTGGATCTGCCTGACTAAATTATTAGCGCTCACTGAAAAGTTGGAAATTTTCATGAACTTTTGGTGGAAAATTTGTCCCCCTTTTTTGCTAGACAATTTCAAAATCTGATTTTTTTTCAAACAGCTCTATAAATTGCACTTCAGGGACTTACTATATTTCATACGCTATTCCTAAAATAGGTATATATTTTACACAGTATATTTCAGAGGGAGGACATGCTAGTTATTAAGTAGTTTAACAACAGTAGATTGGCTAGTCACTCTTTTTGTGAAATAATTATAGATTATTAAAAATAATAAATAAAAATAAACAGTTGCATGCCAGGATATTCAAAGCTATATGTATAACACTTCTGGTTTATCTCAGGGTTTTATACTGGCAGCCATCAAAGTAGCATCTAACCACCTTCTTCATAAAAACAATAGCAATAATGAAGTCCCTAGTGGACCTCAAGGAATCTCAGCACTTCTCCCTTTTCAGGGTGAAAATTCTCTTTGGGTAGGGATTTTCTTTTGAATTTTTAGATTTTATTAATTTCCTGGGACATTTGTTTTGAGGGGTTGGTTAGGGTTCTTTGGGTGTAAGGGGGTATCAGTATGATGAGAAACAGTCACAGAACAAGCCAGTTACTTGATTGAGGATGGATTTGGAATGGGGGAATCCATTTCAGAGGAACACAGACAGCTCAGTGAGGATATCTTTTACCTGCACACTATTCTGTTTTATTTCCTTTAAAATTGCTGGGGTTGAAAGGGGTCTGCTTTATACTAAATTCCAGGTGGTAAAAACTAAAGACAAAGTCATAGAATCATAGAATATCAGGGTTGGAAGGGACCTCAGGAGGTCATCTAGTCCAACCCCCTGCTCAAAAGCAGGACCAATCCCCAATTAAATCATCCCAGCCAGGGCTTTGTCAAGCCTGACCTTAAAAACTTCTAAGGAAGGAGATTCTACCACCTCCCTAGGTAACGCATTCCAGTGTTTCACCACCCTCTTAGTGAATAAGTTTTTCCTAAAATCCAACCTAAACCTCCCCCACTGCAACTTGATACCATTACTCCTTGTCCTGTCCTCTTCTACCACTGAGAATAGTCTAGAACCATCCTCTCTGGAACCACCTCTCAGGTAGTTGAAAGCAGCTATCAAATCCCCTCTCATTCTTCTCTTCTGCAGACTAAACAATCCCAGTTCTCTCAGCCTCTCCTCATAAGTCATGTGTTCCAGACCCCTAATCATTTTTGTTGCCCTTCGCTGGACTCTCTCCAATTTATCCACATCCTTCTTGTAGTGTGGGGCCCAAAACTGGACACAGTACTCCAGATGAGGCCTCACCAATGTCGAATAGAGGGGGACGATCACGTCCCTCGATCTGCTCGCTATGCCCCTACTTATACATCCCAAAATGCCATTGGCCTTCTTGGCAACAATGGCACGCTGCTGACTCATATCCAGTTTCTCGTCCACTGTCACCCCCAGGTCCTTTTCCGCAGAACTGCTGCCTAGCCATTCGGTCCCTAGTCTGTAGCTGTGCATTGGGTTCTTCCATCCTAAGTGCAGGATGCTGCACTTATCCTTATTGAACCTCATCAGATTTCTTTTGGCCCAATCCTCCAATTTGTCTAGGTCCCTCTGTATCCTATCCCTGCCCTCCAGCGTATCTACCACTCCTCCCAGTTTAGTATCATCCGCAAATTTGCTGAGAGTGCAATCCACACCATCCTCCAGATCATTTATGAAGATATTGAACAAAACCGGCCCCAGGACCGACCCCTGGGGCACTCCACTTGACACCGGCTGCCAACTAGACATGGAGCCATTGATCACTACCCGTTGAGCCCGACAATCTAGCCAACTTTCTACCCACCTTATAGTGCATTCATCCAGCCCGTACTTCTTTAACTTGCTGACAAGAATACTGTGGGAGACCGTGTCAAAAGCTTTGCTAAAGTCAGGAAACAATACATCCACTGCTTTCCCTTCATCCACAGAACCACTAATCTCATCATAGAAGGCAATTAGATTAGTCAGGCATGACCTTCCCTTGGTGAATCCATGCTGGCTGTTCCTGATCACTTTCCTCTCATGTAAGTGCTTCAGGATTGAAGTCAATGAAACACAATTATTTTTCTGGTAATTCCTTTTTTAATTTTTTCTTTTTTTCACATTGAACCCAAAGATTTTTGTTTTGTTACCAGGCAGGTCAGCTAACTGCTGATAGTAGTGATATTTCAGTGGTATCTGGGAGTAACTGGGCAGGTGAGTTATTTCAAACCCCACTCACATTTAGCATCTTGTTTTCTCATCAACTGTTATGATTATGATTACAAATGATTTTGTAACAACGCTACTGTTCTAAATAAACATATTAATTCTAAATGTCTTGTATTATATCAGAGAGGTAACTTCTTTCATTATTACTGATACACAATATAAGGGCCTGGCTGGAAGACAAGGAGCCAACGCCATCCAATTTTTAATAGAGTATTCAATGCAAAAGAAACATTGGGAGTCTCAAGTCACTGCCACTCTGATATACAATATATTTTCTTTTTATGTGGGAACAATTTGAAAGCCTCCTTCTGGAAAAGCCAATGAGCCAAATCTCATTGCCTTAATGGCAGCTGGATCAGGCCCTTTATCTAAAGTGAAACACAAATATTTATTTTAGTTTAAGTTTTTGTTCCCATCTGTCAGTATTTTCAATTTTTACTCATGCACACTTTCACTGTGTGATGGGCAGAAGATCTACACACACTATTCTCAATGGGTGTTTCCTTCCATGGTAGAACAGACCCTAAAAACAGGTATTCTTCCTCTACCCAGGAAGGCAGCAAAATCCCAAGAAATAAGAAGGCCTTTTCTGATGCAGAAAATCACTCTATTTTCACAGTATACTCACTGTCCAGCAGCTACAGGCCTAGTAATCTTGGTTCAGCAGCAAGAGGCCCTGATCTTGAATTCATGGTACCATGATGGCTAACAATAATGAACAAGGAATATATACAAACCAGATAAAAACAACAATGCTGAAGCACAGATTTAGGGTTATAAACACACACAAAATTAGCCAAAACTAAAATAAATAAATAACTAAACTAGCATTTATTCCTCTAAATTAAATGTTACTTGTAGCTACAATTTAATTTTTTGCTTCAGATTGAATTTTCTGTTATATTGAATTTTGGTATGCTGAAATCACATTTCCTTCTGTTTAGGAAGCCTGTAGTTTTGTTAATAAATATAGACCTTCTCTCTGCACAGCTATATAAATATACTGATTAGACTAGGTAAATACCAGATTCCAAAATCTAAATAAAATCTTGGCCAAGATAATTAAATAGTAAAATAAAAGTAAAGGAATATGAAAAGCAGATAAGCTTGGGTTCCCTTACTTCTGGTAAGCAAGAGCAGCCATGGCTGAGGTCTCCATTAGCAACAATGGCTAAGCCAGGGTAACTAAGCCGTCGCATACATTTCAATCAACTTTACAGATCAATGCTTTGCATGTCTTGGAATATTTTGCCTAATTTAATAGGAAGTTGTCTAAAATGTTAAAGCAGCTAGGTAGGTTGATATTCATCCCTGATATCTACAGGGCTTTATTATTATTTTTTTTAATAACTAGAGATGAACTAATCTCTTTCCATACGAACCAGAATAAAACATCAGCAACACACAAGAGACATCTTTTTCCTGCTGGCTTCTCCTGAGCCAAGCATTGAAGCCTCGCCATCACTCATCACTGCAGCCATCCAACCTCCTCCGCTTTGCTTCTCCGGTACCAACCTTGGGCATTCGGATGTGCTCCATGGCGTCCAGGCAGCTCCCAGATGAGAGTCTCATGCACCTTCCACAATGAGCAGGGATGGATTCAGAGGGATCTCTAGTCTGTAGATCAGATTTTTATTTTCATGGGCGCCGGGGAAGATGGGGCGGGGGGATACATTGTACCTCTGTTTCGATGCTTGCAGGTCAGTCATTGGCTCCACCCCCAAGGGCAGCTGCCATGCCCCCCCAGCTTAGATGCAGCCTGAGCCCGCACAGGCTGCAAGGAACCGCCGTCAGCCAGGCCCTAAAGACTGACAGGTTCAGGCTTGCCTTTATCTAGTGCCGCTCCAGAGATGCCAGAGTAGTGCCAATGAATGCATCTCCGTCTAATTTTGCATCCAGTTGCAAATTCTGACGTTAGCTGACATCAGTATTTTCTCCATTATTTAAAAAGCATCCCCTTATCCTAGGTCCTGGGGAAGGGAAATGTGACAGATGAGAAAGGGACTCTGCCAGAATTGCATCCCCTCTCTTTTTCTAATCCCCTGGTCCAGTGTAAGCGACTTCCAGACGCTGCGGTCGCTGGCCTTGCCGCATCCCATGATCCCAAGGTCCAGGAGATGGCGTTTCTGATATCTGACAGACAGCCCTGTCAGAAATCGCATCCCCAACTTTGTGCAAGGGGAGACACAATCCTGACACAATCACTGTCCTGCGTCAGAAATTGCCCCCACCCGTTCCTTGCCCCAGGATGCAGGCTAAGGGACCAAAGAGAACCACCTCGACTCCCCCAGCCTGTCCTTTGCTGTTGGGGCCGGAGAGCAAAGTGGAGAGAAACAGCTGTCTCTAAACCAACCGGGAATTGCCACCCTTCTCTGAACAGAGAGGGGAAACTGTAGCCACTATTCGGTTCTATGTGCCTCCGGCTAGACCCGTCAATAAGACAGAGAGACTGGCGTGAACCACCCAAGGGATTCACTTTGATCCTCTGGGAGGATCGGACGTAAATATTGTGCTGAATCTGTCCGAAATGACGGTTCCTGCGTGAGGGCTGGAGGCGCACGTGGCTGGGAGAGAGGCAGGCAAACACACGCGCAAAAGCGCAGAAGAATGGGGTGTGGAGCGACGCCCCCGCTGGATCAGCAGCTGTCCTCCCCTAGTCCCAGTTTCATGCCTCTTCCCTGCTTTTCAGCGGGGTGAATGTGGGGCAAAAAGCGCCTGTGTGAGCATTGATTCAATCGGCAGGATATTCTTTTAAACACCGAAACCATATCTGGAAGGAAGCATTTAACCCTGGGGAGAGATGGGGGCCGGAATGAGAGTAATTGGATCAATCCCTAGTGGGCAGCTGTTTACAGCTTTTCTGACAGAGCACCGCTGCATTGTGTAAGCATTGGGCTGGGCTGGGACTTCAGTGCCGCAGTTCTGTGTACGGGGTGCTATCAAGGGCCAGTCCTTCTCCCTTATTTTTGCAGCTCTCCCCCTCTCTCGCCCCCATTTTTGCACACTCTTCCCCGTTTCTGCAGCTGCTTCAGCGGATGTTTTGATGTTACTTACTGGGCATGCTCGGATGGCTTAAGCACGTTCCCTAACGGAGGATGATAATCTACCCTGAAACTTGCCAGGGCTGTGCCTGCGTGGGGATTGCTGCACTCTCCTGCGGAAAATCCCTGGTTGGAGGTCCGGATGTGTGTTTGTGTGTGCTCACCTCCATAAATCTTAACTTCAGGGAGGAGTTCTACATCTCTGTGCAGCCCCTGAACTCCTCTGTTTTGAGACACCACTAGGCATCATCAACTAATAGGGTGGGAGGTTTTAATGGTTCATTTGACAGTATCTAATTATGATCTGGAATGAGGGCTGGGATGCACTGCCTTGCTTGAAAATACACTGAGTGGGATCCATAAACTTATTTGCATTTACTAGGTTTTGAATCTCACAGACATTTAACTAGTGGCACTTTTTTCTTTCTTCTGATCATTTTGGCAAAGACAACTGCTAAGAATTATCCAGTCATTAAATGTTTCCTTTGTAGTAACAATAATATGGTGCACTGCTTATATTATCATCATTTGGCAGTCATTGCTGTCAGTACAATAGGGAAAATTGAAAGAGAACATCATCATGTTGGAATAAGAAAGAGGCTTCCAATTTTCAGTGCCCTGTCACCATAGGACCACCCCTGGCTTGAAATGCTTTCCATTATTGACAGGGTTTACAGTTTGGTTCAATGGCTTTCAGAACCCCCATTATAAAAATTGTTTTAGCACTCCTGCCTGTCACCACTAATATCTATATTTTCCTGGGTACATTTTGTGCAAACTCAACCTAGTCCTTCTCCCACTCAAGTCAATAGCAAAGCTACCAGACTTAAATGGGAACATGACCGGTACCTTCATCTCCAGTTCAGATTCCTAAGTGGGTGCTAAGACAAGAATGTGTACATAGTATTGTTTATTTACCAGCCTTTGAATATGCTGCAAGAATTTGCTACTGTCTTGAACTGATTAAATCATTAATGGAGAACTGCACGTAGAAACGGCAATAGAAACAGTGTTTAAATAAAAGTTATGACAATCACACTTGTCATAGAAAGCTGTAGTAAGCTCTGCTTTTTTTTTAAGTTTCTTTTACATTTTTCATGTGTATTTAGTGCTCATGAAATGTGCCATTTTGACAACCCTGGAGACTGAAATCCTTTGTTTATCTAGATGAGAGGTACAGCACAGGTAGTGGCAATAAACTCCTTCAATGCACCTCAACCCTGACCTAGAGTGACTATCTTCAGGGGTGACAGGATAGTTCAGTTTTCATGCCCATTCAGTGCTTGAGTTATCTGCTGAAACCTCCAACCCAGTTGTCAATTAACACCAAGCATAGCAGTGATTATATTTTTTGTCATGTGAATACCTGTCCATTGAGAACTGGGACCACTACACTTATTCATATAGTCCCCCAAATAGTCATTAGAATGAGACAGCTTTCAGACCCCAGTATCAGCAAAGCATTTTAGCACATGCTTAATTTAAAGAACATGGGCATGCATCCAAGTGTGCAAATGCACCTATACTTTGCGTCTGTATTTTTACAGTACTTGTATATGTAACCAGAGGAATGAATTTTTATGGATCTGGAAATGCTAGATAAGTCTTTGCATAACAAATATAAACATATGTGGCCATTTTCTGGGAAAGTGCATATCCCAAGTTTCTCCATGCTGATGTGCTTGGACAAATAAACTTCTCCTCCAGTTGGTCCAGCAGGAAGCTGCATGTGACATAACTTGCACCTGAGGATCGGTCAGTTTTAACTTTAACCTTTAATTTGGTTAAAAGCCATTTGGTTTAACTTTTACTTTGTCATTCAAATAAATATTTCATTGCTACCTTACCTTAGATCTAATGAAAGAGGGAATGAGTTGTGCTAGGGAAACCGTGGAAATGAGGAGCTTTCTGACTTTTATGGTCAGAATATCCTGAATTGAAATGCTATTGGTCTGAAGTAGGAAAGAGAAATAAAATAGATCCAACTGTAGAACTACTGAGGATTTAATTTGGATCACCACTAGGGCAAGGATCCTCAAAATTGAGCAAACAGCTGCTAGTATATTGGCAAGATAAGAAAGGTCTCCCTATTGAGCGAAAGATTCACCATAACTAGAAGAGCAGATTGTAAAACTACTGTGAATACAGTAGGCAAACTAAAAAATTCCATGTTTTGGAAGATCCTACTCCATTCAGCAATATTTACAGGGTACAGAATGGGGAATTTCACTTGAAATGCTACAATCTTTCAAAATGTACAAAATTTTAAGGGCACCCACTGTACAGAAGAACACAATACAGATCCGCTACAACACATCAAAAGGTACAGTAGACAAACAAAGGAGCTAATGAGCACAGAGTTTCACTTGGGTCAATGAATCCATCACCAAGACCATGGAAATATTTCTAACCACATTGTCTTGCCAATTAGTTGGTTAGATAATAAAAGGAAAGATGATTCCTCCCCTCATCCCTCATTGCATCTGAACAACTATATTTGGATGTCTCTACTGGGGATCCTGCAAAGGGAGGTCAGCCACTATATCAGCAGTGCTAGCAGCCCCAGAAAGGATGTATTTGGGCCGGCCTGGTCCTCTGATAAGTCTACAACTGTGGAAAGAGAATGAAGACTAGAACAAACAAACAACATTTTTCATGAAAATGTGTCCCTTTTTCAGAAAACAAATTCAAAATTTGAGATTTTACAACTAACTCTACTGACGTGCAAATGTGAACCATGAATAATGGGAATAATAGTGAGTGATCTTCTCTTTTTTGAAGAAATGTTAAGTATATCCCAACACATAAAGAATCATGTAGGGGTTCTCCAGATGACATTGGCTGTGTTACATTAAATGTTTTTAGAACATTTCATCCAAGATCCCATACAGGGAACTTTTCCATAAATTATATGAGAGTAATATAAAAAGAGAGAAGTATATTTTTATCTTTTCAAGTTCTTTTCATCCCAAAGTTCAGAATCAGAAGGTCAATCAGAACTGGGAATTCTTCCAGCACCCCATGATCTTCTGCAGTACATTGAGAAGGCCTGGACATTTTTCAAACCCTTGGCAGATTTCAGAGAGTTTCCAACATTCTCACATTCCCTTAGAGACAAATAAAACCTCTGTATTCAAAGCAGATCTCTTTTTTTTCTCTCTGAACATGGGATTGCTGTCTGAAAAATAATAAAAATAAAATGATTATAAAGCAACTTCCAAAATTTTCAAGAAGAAAACCTGAACGGCTGGGGCTATACCTGTAAGTGGTCTGCATAAACCATGCTCTGCAGCATGAGAGAAAAGAAGAGTGAGACTGTGCAGCATTCAATATAAGGAAAGAAAGGAAAGGAGGGAGGAGAACGAGACAGTGGATGATAGAGGCACTGTCTCCTGTAGGAGCTTCATAAGAATTAGCTAAAGCTTTATTAAAATATTTTCTATTACCTCCTAACTGTTCTGTGTGTCTAAGGTAAGCGTAACCCAATGATACAGAAATGTAGTTTGGAAGAATCCATAAATGATTTCATATCAAACAAAATTCATCAAACAATGGAAAGAAATATTTTGCTCCCCTCTGCACATGAGAGGAAAGCACAAAGGACTTGATATAGGGATGTGGGGTTTCTAATAAGATGACCTAACTGTTAAAAGCATGAAAACAAGTAGAATATGTTGAATTTCAGTGAAAAATAGCGTGAAACAGCTGGATGTTACATCAAAT